TCATATAATTAGTCATTTATAATATCTATTTTTTATAATTTCTACATTTTGATACGAATTTAAATTAGCTAACATTTAAATTTATTACTTCTTTGTGATGCATTCTCACATAAAATATTATAATTTAGTTTTTGAGAAGCGTTAACTTTTTTTTTTAAAAAAATATTTGATTATAAGATTAATATAATCAATGAATGAAATATTTATTCCATTCATTTGTCAAACTATTGATAATTTCAATCATTATATTTTAGCTAATTAATATGACATATTCTTCTCTTTTAAACTTTTCGAAAGTTCAAAGTTTACTTTATTACTTCATTTTTTAGTTGAATTATTTTATAAAAACCATCATTTTAAATTTGTTTTTTTGTTTTTTTTGTCTTTTTGTTTATAATTTTTCATTTCTTATTTAATTTAATTTTATTGTTTCTTTTCATGCAATATAATTTAGTCTTCATTTAATTAATTTTAAAAAATTTCACAATTATTTGAAAAATTTTCATTTTTTACAAATATGTAAACTGATATAGCATATTACAACAAAAATTTTTTTTGTGTTAAAATTTATTTAAGCAAAAGTAGAAAAGTACATTTGTTATTGATCAACATCATTATTATTATTATTATTATTATTATCATTATCATTATCGTTATCATTATCAACCTTTAGGAGAAGAGAGGGACCGTGCATACAGCAACCGTTTGAATTAATTTCTATGCCGAATGAATTTTTTGAAATAAAATAATTTCAGGTATTGTGTAGTTAAAGTGCATTTGATTCATTGGAAACAAAAATTTTTTTCTTTTCTTTTCCTTTCTTTTCTTTCCTTTTTCCTTTTTCTTTTTTTGAAATTTGAATTAAAATGAATAAATTAATATTTTTTTTTCGAGGAAACAAATGAAACAGTAAAATACATTTATTTTTATTGTTTCAAATATCATTTATATGATATAATAAGCATTTGCAATTAAATTCAATTGCAAAAATTCATTTCTGTTTTTTCTTACTGTGAAAATATTTTTTTTAATTTTAGTAAAGCAAAACCTAAGAAAATTCTACTAAGTCTTTGAAAAATTTGTGAAAATTTTTATAAATTTTATAAATGCTTTTAAAAAAATGTGTAGAGACGAGAAAAAAAAAACACAAATTTATTTAATAATGACAGTAAGTATTTTAAGTAAATTATTGATAATAAGTAAATAAATGAATTCCAATTGAAATATAAACGTAAAATTTAAAAAGCATTATACAATTATTGTTGTTTCATTTATAATTAAATTCGTTTAAAGTGACAAGAATTTTGCTTGAAAAAAACTCTCCACTAATTTCTTTTATGTTTATCTTTATCATTTTATCACTTTTATGTTTATCTTTATCATTTTATCACTTTATTATTTTTATTAATTATTATCGAAATTATACAATTTGATAAGTAAAATTAATCTGTAAAATTGTATGGTGATACGAGACTTGAAATAAAATAAAAATTTTTTATTAATATATAGCTAGTAAACAATTTCCTCAGTATTAGTCGAGTTGCAATGATTTATAAGTATTTTATTAAATAATTTAAAAAACTGATAAATGATCATTAGTGATAACTAAACAATAGTGAAGTTAATCAATTTATTTCATATTAGTTGCAGAAAGTAAATGCAAAAAAATAACAATGATAGAAAAAATTGAATAATAAAATTTGAAATTAAAATAATAATTTGATCCCTTTTCAAATTTTAGACTCCTACAGCTGTAATTAATTAACAAATTATAATTTCTCTTTTCTGCTCTTTCATACCACAAATTTGATAATAATTGAATTACTCACTTATCACTTATCAATCTGAATTAGCTATCATTTTTTTTACTCCTAAAAATATGACTTCTTAGAAACATTCGTTTCTCTTTTTTGTTTTTGTTTTTTTCTCGTTTACTTTACGTTCATCACTTAAACATATGATTACGCTGATAATTGATCAAATAATTGAACGTATATTTTTAGCTATTAAACTTTTTTAGCAAAACATAATTCTCATATCTTTTATCATTTTTCATATTACATTTCTCACAATTACTATTCAACTGAATGATTTTTCCATTATGGAAAAAATTATGGTTAACAAACAATCACATTTCTATCACGTGAATTGCGTAAACAAATTTGATAATAAATATTGTAACTATAAACAAATCGTATCACATTTACTACAACAATTGCCATTTATTCATTCATTGTATTTCAAATTTCAATTTAATGAAATTTGCATATTACACATTTTCATTCATATCAATATCGCAATAAAAGTATGCAAAATCGTCGAAATAAAGAAGAATTTTGTAGAATTATGCTAAAAAATTTTAACAATTCCAATACGAATTCAACAATGTCTTCCTTCCTTTAATAGATAAATAATCAATAATTGATTAAAGAGCAAAAATAAATGGAAAAATAATTTTGAAATGAATAATTATCATTTGTTTTAACAGCAAAAGATCTAAAAGTTAAAATCAAATGATAAGTGATAAATAGTATAACAATGATATCACATTGAATACTCATACAATATTAACTGTCATTCCAACCGATCACATATAAAACTGATATCAAATAAATCATTAGCATTTCTTCCCTTATGACAATTTCAAATATTCCTCTTAAATTTGTAAAGTAATTAAAATCATATTTTAATATATAAAAAATTAAATGAAGCAATGAAATACGTCAAATTGAAAAACGCTGACACGTACGTTGAAAATATAGTCAGAAAACATTTGTAAATTTACATATGCTATGATAAAATGAATAAATAAACAAAATACTTCATTATAAGCTACAATATATAAATATCTACATGGATTTTTCTTTCCTAAATTCAGTAATACACTTAATATAATTACTAGAATTTAATCGAAAATAATTAATTAAAATGATACAAACAATAAAAATAAATCTATCGTTTTTTTTTTTTTGTTTACCTAAATACAACAATTAATTTTCATGCAGAAAAAACCGAAAAGATCTGAAACTGAAAGACATTTTTGAAATGAAAATAAAAAGTAAACTGTTCACCTTCAAAATATTATTACAATAGCTAATAAAATATCAGCAAAGCATTTCAACAAATTTCACTTTTTCTGTTTCTTTTAAGAAATTCTTTCGCTTAACACTAATTGTTTTTAGAAAATGATTGGAAACATTTTGAGCAAATCAAATATAACAATAATACTTAGCAAAAACTTATAATAACATTATTTCAATTTTCGATTTTAAATTATAAAACTTTGTTTCTCGCCTTCCTCTTTTCATCCTTTGATTGTTTTGATTTTTGAATTTTGAAAAATATTCAATGATGATTAGATGACCAAATAAATATTATTATATGTTACTGTCACGTGAAATACGTAAAACATGATAGCACCACTGGATATTCTTATGATATTAAATACACTATTTCTAAATAATTTAGAAGAGATGAAAAAAAAAAAAAAGAATTTCAAAGTCAAACACATCGACTAGAAAAAGTTAGAAAATTAAATTCCTGATGTTTATAAAAATTCAAACTTCAAAATGTATGAGTTTAAATATAATTAATGATAAGACTAATCCATTGTTTCTGACAAGATTTTGTTTTAAAAAAGTTAACAAATTTTTTTCTACTATCATAAAGGAAATGACAATATTAACATTCTTTCGTTTTCCTCTTCAAAAGAAAAAAAAAAATTTTTTTTTAAATTATAACTGTTATACATAAAACTATCTGGCAATAAAATCAAATGATAAAATTATCAATTTGAATTGATCAGATGTAATCGCTCACTCCTGAAAAAGTATTCTATTGAAATATGAAAAGGAAAAATATGTTCTAGTATAGAAATTCATAACTGATAAAATCTTTTGAAGGAGTGGAAGCTCATTATCATATCAATATAAGCAATGAATCATTTCTTTTTGATAAGAAATAAATCTTTATTCCTTGATAAGAAATTTTTTCTAGTAAATTTTACCAATTAAATAGTTTTTTAAAGAAATAAATTTAAAAAAAAGCGAACTAACATTTTAATTGTAATACTTCCAAATAAGTAATATTCATCATTTTGCTCCTCCATGTCAAATAGCTATGAGAGATAAATGCAACTGTAGCCACAAATGATATGATAATGATAACAACGATAATAGTAGTAATACGATTAAGAATAATAAAATTAAATGATATAATGAAGTGTTAATTATTTATGACATAACATTAAAATGATATAAATTTTGATCATATCTCATTGTTATCACCATATCATTGATCATATCTCATTGTTGTCACCATTCTTAACCAAATATGATAAGAAAAGTGAAAGAGTGATTTTCAATTGAGATTGAAGAAGTATCCAATTTCATTTTAACTAAAAATTTCGGCCAACGACCCGATCACTACGACCAACTGTTTACCAATTGTAAAATATGTTTGATAGTGTAACGGCAAACATCAAAGATAATTGTAGGATAGAAAACAGACAGCAGTGTGCATTTATGATAAGGAAGAAAGTGAGACCAAAGAAATATATTTTTGGAAAATTTTCAAATCAATACCGTATGATAAATTTATCAATATATCATTATTTGCTGTTAAAATAAGCAATTAGAGAAATGATAAAAGTAGTAACAATAGTTTCAATTAAGTTATAATAGAACTTCAAAATTGTAGAACGTTAAGCAATTAGTAAAAAAAAAAGATGATAATGTCATATTTAAAAAATTTTATCAAAGATATAAACTTATCAATAATTATCATTTGCAAAAGCACTAGTTAATATCAAAGTATGTGTGTGGTCTGTTCATTTGACGATATAATAAATATAACTATAAATGAAAAAAAAAAAAAAAAACTTTCAATGATAACAAACCTTTGACTGAGATTGGTACTGATAATAGTGATAAATGGTATGATTGTTAGGATGATGAAATAGAAGTGAGCAGTAGTAAGTGATAAAATAAATGATAGCCTAGAAGGTCCTGCCTGTAGAGACGAGCTTATTTTGATTCAAATAGGTCAGATAAACCCGGATCTACAGGGTGAACCATCCAAGAAAACTTCCATAAATGGATCAAACAATGAATTCAATGGATCAATTTATCGATCATTTTATCATTCCAATTATTTATAGGAAAACAGCAAAAAATCCTGAAAAAAAAAATTATTGCAATCAAATTAAATACATAAAATAATAATTGTTATAAATAAATCGAAAGTAACTTTGTAAAAAAAATATTTTTATCGTGAAAATTTTGTAATGATTAGATAAATAATATAGTAATACAAATTTTGTCGCTCTATTAAAAATTCTATTTACTCCCTCTTCTTTCCTTCTCTCTCTCTCTTTCTCTCTCTCTCAAATTTTTAAGCTATAGAAATGTTGCTTGATAAAATTCATATAATTAAATATGTCGGATTAATTTGGAATTCTATAAGTATCAATGTAACAATTATTCATTTTAGGGTATGTGGATTTTTAATTGATAACTCAATAATAATGATGATAGTAGTAACAATGATAGTGATAATAGTAATAGTAATAACACTAGCGAAAATAATAATGATAGTGATAATAATGATAATAATAATACAAATATTTCAAATAATTTACTAACAATCAAAATCAAAAAAAGAGAAACGATAAATAAAAAGATTAATTTTTTTTTTTTGTAACATTTTAATTTTATTCAATAATATTTATTACAACTAAATATTTCAAATAATCAAAATCAAAAAAGAGAAAAAAAAGAAAAAAAAAAACGTTTACTATCCGAAAAAAAAAAGAAAATATTGCATAAACATTTAAATTTTATAATTTGAATATTTAATACAACAATTTCTAATCTAACTAATAAATTATTCACATAATTACTAACATATTATTATTATTATTGTTTTATGCTAATAATAAATATTAAAATAAAATAATATTAAAATAAAAATGTATGTATGTATGTACACACACACACACACATACATACACATACACACACATACACACATATATATATTTAATGACTGAGAGCAAATTCATCTCAGACATCGATACGAGAATGAATTGTTCAACAATGCCAACCAATGAATGTTAATAGCAAATGCCTGATGGTATATACATTGCATCCGTATCGGTATGTATCGATATGTATGTGGTATACACGTGTGTGTATGTGTGTATGTATGTGTGTGTATATGTGTGTATGTGTATGTATGCGTGTGTGTATGTGTATGTATGTGTGTGTATATGTGTGTATGTGATGTATGCGTGTGTGTGTGTGTGTGTGTGTGTGTGTGCGTATCTGCCTGAAAAATGAATAAAATATATAAATTTATGTTTAGAATAGAAGAGGAAAAGAGAATTGTATGTGTGTGTGTGTGCGTCTGTGTCTGTGTCTGTGTGCATGTGTGTATATATGGCGTTGCTCCAAAAACTCTTATAATAAATAAATATACAAACAGAACGCAATGATTACGACGATAGCGATATTAGTTTAGAATATTTATAAATGAAAGCGAGAAGAATTGAATGTATGAAATTGTGTGTATGTATGTGTATGTGTATGTGTAAAAAATGCATCACCTGAAATGAATGCATAGATGCATGCATGCATGCATATCATACAAATGCATGCATGCATGATATGATGCAATATTCATTGATGATGTATCAATAGTTTAAAGTAAACAAATAAATAAATAAATAAATAAAAGTAAATTAATTAATAATAATCAAAAAAGAAAGGAATTTGTTACTTTTTGTTTTATTTATAATTTAAATATTAAAAATTTTATTATAATTGATTATGTTATAAAATTAAAAATTTTTTATTTTATAATTCAAATAGAATTAGCAATGATTAATAAATTTTAAGTTTGAAATAAACTAATTAATTAATGTTATTGTTAATAATTTTTTAATCTTATTAATTGAATTGTTTTATTCAAATTAATAAAGATAATAAATAAGTGCTAAACAAATAGAGCTATTCATTAAAATTAATTAAAATTAAAACGAATATTTTAATTTTAATTGATTAGCTGTTAGCCAATTATATTATATAAGGAAAATTGAAAGCATTATTTATTGGACAATGTGATTAGAAATTTCTATTAATTATTAATTTCACTAATTAGTTAAAATTTTCATCAAATGACTCTCTAATATTCGATCTATTTGTTGTTCATCCTTTTTTTTTTTTTTTCTTATTTTGTTTGATATAAACAAAGTGGTAGCATTTATTTTAGTTTAATTAATAATTTCAATTTCATCTATTATCAGCTAAATGATAATATAATCTTTTTTCATCCATTTTTTTAAAACTATCATTTGAATATTTTTTTTTTAACTTTTCTAAAATATCGTTTTTGTTGTAAAAATTTTGCATATAAAATTACAGTTTCAGTTTATTTGAATCAATTTCAATTCAGAAATTTATATTTTGAAAAAAAAAAAAAAAAAAAAATTCCGAGCAAACTATACTTTTTGAATCAAATAAATAATGAAAAAAAAAAAATGAAATGAAATGAAATGACTTTTCTCTTTTTCCTTTCTTTTTTTTTTAGTAATATCTTATAAGTGATATTATACATTAACATTAAATTTAAATACCATGTAAACAATTAAAATTCATTTTAATTTTAGCAATCTTTTTTTTTTTTTAGAATTATTATCAATAAATCTTTTATTATTGTCATTTATAATTAATATGTAAATTTTGAATGAGTCATATCAAATAAGCAAATAATTTGTCAAAAAGAAAAAAAAAAAAAAAAGTGAAAGGATTTAAAACTGATTTACTATAAAAGAAAGAATGAATGGATGGATTAAGGATATTTTAAAACTACCATAAAATTTAGTCACATTTCATGTTTCATGCTTCATTGAGCTTCTCTTGCTTATTTCATTTAACAAATGATTGAAAAATCCCTCCTCCTCCTCCTCCTTCTCCTCTTCCTCCTTCCTTCTTCTTCCTCCTCTTTCTCCTCCTCCTTCTCCTTCTCCTTCTTCTCCCACCTGCTCCTCCTCATCCACAGCTAATCCAACATATCATCCTTAGCTTACAACTGCTACTAGCCTCTCTCTTATCAATAGAATGATGAAACGAACATCAACAACCATTTACACCTTTAACCAATCTCTCTCTTACATTTTCTCATTTCTCCTCCCTACTATTCGTCATTAACTTTTACTACTATTTACTGCATTTACATTCATTACTGATAACTGCTGATTAGATTTAATTATAATGTACCATGGAGAATTGTTATAATGTTGAGTCTACATCATCATCATTATCATCATCATCGTTATCATCATCATCATCCATATCATTATCATCGTGCTATTCTTATCCATATGTGAATTGTTGTTCCTCATATGATACTTATGGTACTTATCCATTCAATGGATTTTATGGTACTTATGAATCAAACAAATATTATCAGCAGTTACCAGACACCACTAATGATTATCATCAAACTCAAGCATACTATCCACATTATCGTGCATCAATTGCATCTACCTCTGATTATTCACAGTTATTTCTAAATGGTACCATTCCAAATAATTACTCTTCTGCCACTACTACTACTGCTGCTGCTACCACAGCAAATTATAGTAGCATTAATTATGGTAGAGGAAATCGAAGTAATCATCAAAGACCTAAATATGCGTGGATGCTAGAACGTGACAAGGATCATCACCAATCACGTCATTTACAGCAAACTGTTAGATCTACAACTGATACCGTAATCACATCACAAACAGGTAACACTTACGTCATCTTGAACGTGTAATTGCTAAATTCCAATCTTGATAACGTTATTGCTAAATTGCAACAAATTATTATTATTGTCTAATTAACTATTTGAGATAATACTTATTTGTTGCATAGTCTATTAGCTGATAGTTGATAATAAATTAATTAGATGTTAGCTAGTAAGTTAGTGATAATAATCAAAACAATATCACTAAAATTAATCACAAAAATAATAAATAATAATCATTAAAGATTGTATGCTACGAATAACTCCTTTTTTTTTATTTCAAAAATAGTGATATATTTAGTGAATAATGAATTAATCTATTAGTTATTGTTCAAAAAAAAAAAAAAAAATGCAAAGTTAATTACATGAATATATCAGTGAAAATATTTGCAACAAATAAAAAAATTATCAATAAAAAATTAGAGCATTGAAAAATAATTTGATGACACATTTCATTTCTGTTATTTAATTTATAGTAATAAATTAAAAATAATTTGCAATAAAATGAGTAAATTCAAATAAGATAACAAATAGATAAATATCACATAAACAACCCCTTTTTATGATCCATTTAATGCATCAAATTCAAATGAATAATATTAAATTTTATTGGGTGATTAATTAATTCATTACTAGTTAATAAAAATGTAATTGAAATTGGATTTAATATTCGTATATGAAATAAATTTATTTGCATTTGCTAATAGAAAATTAATTAATACTAACTAATAGCTCTACTGATTAATAGAAAAATAAAATAGTAACCATTTCAGAAATCACACAAACTAATTTCTTTCTTGCTTTTAATACTTTGTAGTGTCTATGTAGATATTAGTTGTATGTGTGTGTGTGTGTGTGTGTGTGTGTGCAGGTGTATGTAAAGGTGTGTACAGGTGTGTGTATGGTATTGTGGTGTCGTGGTGACTGTCATCGTAGAATTGTTGGCTGTACAAATAATTTTAATAGTCAATCATTCATTTTTCATTAACAATCACCGCACATTCTAATTAAGGAAGATTCAATAACTGTAGAATGTTGCGCAATTTGATCTTATCCGCCACTTAACAATTTGTTTGAAAATTGATTATCGATTATTATAAAGCTTTCAAAAAGAAAAAACAACTTTTAAAGAATGAACAATTTTTAAAGCAATAAATTGTCCAAAAAAAAATTTTAAACTTTTTCTCGAAAAAAAAAAAATTATTCTAATAACAATTATAATTTCATTACTATCTTTATATGTAGAATATAGTGTGGCCATTTAACCCAAACTTCTATTATTTTAAATAAATTTTCAAATAAAAAAAAAATTTGAAAATTTTAATTTAAAACATTTGATTAATCGTGTAATTGAGACATATTATTGATAAGTGATTATTTTTATTTTTTTGAACTTATCTCTTTGACCTCTAATTTATCACAAATTATTCTGTTATTAATATTATTATTATTATTTGATTTTTGACATTCAATTTTGAAAAGCTAAGCTTATGAAATACGGCAAAACTTTATCTCTTACTAACTCTTACTTCTAATTTGTATTTTATAAAAAATCAAACATTTTTTTGATCAGAATTTGTAATTTATTAATTATTCCATGATAAAAAAAAATAATAGTAGCTGAATAAGATCACTGAATTTTATTAAAAATATTTAAATAATGAACGATCAACAAATGATTGAAAATAAATGATACTGTTTCAGAAAAAAAAAAGAAGTGTAGCAAACATATATTCATGAGCAAATTTCATGCACATTTTGTTTTTTTGTTTTTATTTTAGAAATGATCAATCATAAAAAACTTTCAATTCTTTTTTTTTTGCAACCTTTTGAATTCAATTGTTAACTTTTGAAAAAAAAAAAAACAATTTTTTCAATTCATAAAAAAAAAAAACGGAAAAAGGAAAAAGTGAAATATTTCTGAAATTTTTCATACTTTAATTCTTATAAAGATGTGTTATTTTAGCATAAAATGATATTATCATTGCTTATATTTCAATTAAAAAATAAATTTACATTTATGTTAGAAAAGGAATGGAAAATTTCTTTTTTGCATAAAAAATATAAATTTGAAAATTTCAAACGAAAAAAAATAGTAAGCAGTAGCAAAATTCATTGATTTTTTTTTTTTTTTTTACGATGCAATTTTTTATAAATTTCAATTTATGCAATTTTGCGATTTGCATGCGTAAATTAAATGTTTAGCTTTTATTACTCAAATAAAAAAAAAAAATAAATAAATTAAAAAATGAATTGAAAAAAAGACAAAAATATACCCATAAATTGCAATTTCAATTAACTCTTAAAATGTGCACATATGTCTTTTTTTTTTTAAATTTTTAATATAATGTAAAAAAAAATTTTTTTCAAAACAATTTTTTAATCAATAAACCAATAAAAATATTTTAAAATGAAATAAAAAAATTTTTAATCAATTAATTAACTGTAATAAAATTTACACAATGAATAAATGATAAAATCAATTCGATCGTTTTTTTTTTTTCTTCTTCTTTCCCTCCTTCTCTTCTCAATTTCCCAAACATTTATCATCATTCTTCTTATACTATCACTTCTAATAATGATGAATTACTTTTGTAACTTTGAAACATATTTGCTGCGCATTCTTTACTATCTCTAATTATTTACAAAAAAAGAAATAAATAAATGAGTGAATAAATCAGTTATTATTATTATCATTTTTATCTTTGAGATAAACAAATATTTACAATCATATTTCTATTGAATTTTTTTCTAGTAAACAACAAATGAAATAGTCATATAAAATTAACAAATTATTTCTTTATTAATGAACGTTTAAAATTGATCATAAAATTTAATGAATTTTTAAAATAAATTAATTTAATCATACCAATTAATCAATCAATTTATTATTAAATAATTATAATAAATTAGAAGAATATGATATATATGTATATATACTGCTAAGTGTAATAAATCAATTTAGTAAAGATTTAAAAGAATTGTTTATTTAATATGATAAATAATACTTATCAAACTATTTATCATATAAATATGAATTAATTATTAAACATATCAATTTTAATTAATTATTATTTTTTTAAATTTATGCATGTGTACATATAATATTTCAGGTCGTACATCATATAGTACACCACAGGTTGTTGAATTGGAAAAAGAATTCCGTACCAATCGCTATTTGAATAAGCAACGACGAAATGAACTTGCAACACTATTAGCGCTTACTGATCGACAAATTAAAATTTGGTTTCAAAATAGACGAATGAAAGAGAAGAAGCAACGATTAGCTGCTGCTCTACCACATAAACTTATTGTTACTACTAGTACTGCTACTTCTACTACCACTAGTATTACTGATACTATTATTAATAGTAGCAATAATGCTACAACAACAATAGCAACAACAACAACAACAACAACAACAACAGCTACTACAATTAATACGATGAATTACAATAGTAATTCACAGAGTAATAATAATGATATACAAATTATTATATCATCACCTGAGACTTTCTTTCATAATGTTAATAATTGTATTAATAATCAGATTGAAAATGATGAAGAAAATAATAGCATAAGTAATTGCAGTAATAGTAATAATATTGAAATGAAAAAAGAGAAAGAAGTTGAAATAGTAGGAACAATAATTAATGAAGTAGCTAATAGAATATGCTATACATCACTCTAAAAAACAATTTAATTTTATGTTAATTACAGATTCAATCAGTTTGGCTTTTTTATTATAGCTCCACTAAACTAAATTGTACATTAACTTAAATTTGAAAATTAACAAAAAATATAAATAATTCTCTTTTCATTTTGTTATTTAAAATTTGAACAAACAATTATTTCTGTTGATAATTGTTTCATTTATAATCAATTCTCATACTTTTATTACATTAGTGCTTACAAATGATAATTTATTATATTAAAATTGAAATTATTGACATTAAAAAAAAAAAAAAAAAATTGGGAAGGGGAAAGAAACGGAAATGAATTAATTTGAGGATAATTTACAAATTTAGCGAATAATTTGCGATTCAGATTTAGTAAAAGTAAATATTGAATTATATGAATTAATACTTATTTGTAAAGTAAATTTTGATTTGAAATGATATTCAGTTCAATTCGTTTATTGGTGCATAATTTATTTCATTGTTCATCGAATATTTACTATTTTTTCTAATTAATACATTAAGAAAACTAATTAATTAAATATATCTTTATAAGAAATTTTTCTTTCTCTCAAATATTCTACCTCATTTTAAAATTATATAATTTCATTTTAAAGTATTATAATAGTTTTTGCTGTATTGTAAAGTAACTCATAACTGAAAATTCAATTTCAGTAATTTTTCCGCAATGTTTTCCTGAACAAATTAAGAAAAATAATTTTTCAATCTATATCACTAAATTAAGCTTATTGTTTTCTAAATGAAAAAAAAAAATTTAGAAAAAAGAAACAAAGCTAAAATTTTGATGTCTCTTTATCATTAAATAATTAAATGCATTTTTTGCTGAAAATAAATTATTAAATTACTTTTGAAGGATTAAATCTTTTGAATATTTGGTAACATTTGTTAATGTTAAGTAATTCATTCATTCATTTTTTTGCTCTATCAATAATTTATTGTTATTATAAATTTCGGTTTTAATTCAATTTTGACATCTTATCAAATATTAATTTGATCATGTCTAGTCGTTTTTTTTTTTTTGTCAAAAATGCTCATAGAATTTGTTTTTGTTTATTCATTTGATATTGAAGAATTTAACGCAATAAATAAATATAAATAAATTGCTTTGATCAAACTAAAAACTGTTTAATCTTTGTATTAAAAAAAAGGGAAAAATTCAATAAAATAGTAAGTTAATTAAGCAAAAAAAGAAAGGAACAAATCGAATTTATTTTGTTTGCTGACAAACTTTAAAAATATTTGAATGTTACTGAAAAAAAGTTTGAATTGAAGTAATTATGTGGAAATGATAAGCTGATAAATTGAAATTATTCAAAATTTAATATAGTTACCTCATGTAAATGATAATTCATACTTTAACAATGTCTTACTTATTGTGTTTTTCTCAGAAAAAAAAAAATAAAGTTTATTTGTTTTGATAAAAAAGTTGAAGCGGAATGAAATGGAATAAAAACGAATAAGAAAGACATTTTTCAAAAAAAAAAAAAAAATTTAGTTTTTGTTTTTTAAAGTTCCATTTTTGTTATTTATTCTAACTCTTTTGGCTCATTTCATTGCTTTTTATTGATTCGTTTTTGTTTTGAAAGTTTTTTCGTTTTCTTTTCTTTTTTTTTTTTTTTGTTTTGTTTTTAAGAAAGAGGAAAATATCAACCAAATGATTATTTCGCTTGAACAATTATCAATGATAATAAATTGGCCAACAATTTACCAATTTCAACCAACCCACATCGATGTCATTTGTCAACTTTAGAAGAGCATAAATCGAAAACTGAAGCTGGAATCAATGATAAATTTAAAAATTAGAAAAACGGTCAAAGCTCGAAAGTAAACCAAAAAAAAAGAAACCGCTCATGTCTATTTCAATTAATCATTCTTTATTCTAATTTTAGTAGCAGTAGTAGTATTTCCTATTGCTGGAAGGGTAAAAAATTTTTATAAACGATAATGTAACAAAGAAAGCAAAAATTTTTGATTGAAAATTAAATTTGAATTCAAAAATTTTTATTAATAAAATTTAAATATTGCAATATTTTAATAAAATAAAAATTCAAAACATTTCTTTTTTTTTTTTTGTCATTTCATTGTTTTTTTTCTTCCTTTTCAAAATAGCAACAAATTAACAAATTGATAATTTTTAAATTTTTATTAATAAATAAATTTTTTTAGAATTATTATTACTTTTATTTAATTATTTATTTGTTAACAATTTTAATACATTTTAAATTTATTGAAAATGCTGTAAAACATAATTGCATGTGTATGTATTTGTGTGTATTATTTGTTTTAAACGAAATTTCACTTTGAAATATCTGAAATATAGGAAGAGAAAGATAAGAAAGTGATAAAATATGAAGGAAGATGATAAAGATGAATAAAAATGAAAAGAAAAAGTATGATAAGAGAGAGAGAGAGAGGGAGAGAGAGAGTTATTGTTAAGCGGTATTTGAGAAGGGATTGAAATTTTGAGGAAAGTCAGGAAGTGTTTGAGAGCAATTGGTGCCTCATAAATCATTAAGTTGAGGCCTCTTCCCTTTTCCTCTCGTTACTTTCCCGACACCAAATGTTACTTTCCGTACTGAAATTTCATTTTATATATTAAAATAAAAATCCCTCAAAATGCTAAGAATATATTGTTAAATGTAGAATTAGCACAATATTTGAAAGATTTATTTTAATTTATTAATTAAAGTTGTAAGAAATTGTTATAATATATTTGTGAAAAATCAAAACATCAATTTATATACAAATCAAAAAAAAAAAAAGAAAAAAAAAAAAACGAAAAATTAAGCCAAAATGACAAATTTTCCATGAAAAGATTTATTTATTTTATTTTTTCCAGTTAATTTATTAAATTATGCATTTTTAAATTTCATTTGCTAACTTCTATAAAATTTCAAAGACAAAAATTTTAATCAAAATTTGATCAATTATTTGTCATAAAATAAAAACCAAAAAAAGAAATCATCAGATATTACCGTAGCAGCAATATTTTTTTTTTGTCTTTTGAAATATTGTAAAATTGTAATTTATCTCTAAGTTTCACCTACCAATAGTTTTACTAAAAAAAAAAAAAAAAAAAAAAAAATGGCATTACTGTAATCTTTGAATTTACTTCTCAAAAAGTTTTTTCACTTCACTTTTCTCTTTTAATTTCATAAAAAAGAAACTATCTTTTCTTTTCAATCAAAAATTTACCAATGGTTACCTAATTTTTGCTACAAAAATTATTTTAATTCATTTTAGATGAATGTATATAATTCAAAATAATATTAAAATTAGAAAATATTACCAAAATTAATTACAATCACTTTGAATGAGTAGAATATAAAATAAATTTTATAGCAAAAATTTAAAAAATAAAAAAAAAAATTATAACTAAAAAGTAGTAAAAAAAAAGGAAGTAATTTATTTTACCGAGATATTAAAAAAAACTAAAAAATCATAACTTAACTTAAAGTTCTGATATACTTTTTCTTTTCAGTGATAAGAAATTCTGATATGCTAAATGAAATTAAAAGTTGATGAAGATGAATTTTAGATGCCAGAAAAAAAAGGACTGCTAATACATCACATTGATGTTTTGTTAAAGTTAACACTTAGCAATAATCTATTTCAAGTCGGAAACATGTAAATGAATAGTTATGATTAGAATATAATTGATAATGACAAGTTTTAAAATTGATTTGACACAAAGTTTTTACATTTTGAAGTGCATTCTAAATAAATGAATAAATTTGGAAGTTAAAAAAAAATTTTTTTTGCAATATTATTGTAAATTTTTAAATGACAAATAATTTTTGACAAAGTAATATCAAAAGCTAAAACAAAAATTTTTAAAAATGAAAAAAAATTTTTTCAATTATTTCAGTAAGTGTTTAAAATTTTATATTAAGTATTTAAATTGAAGACGAATTTTTCATTTCATACCTAAGATTAAATTAAAAAAAGGTTTTTTTTTTTTTTTTTTTCACATTGTCGTATTTTAATGCTATTTCTTTTCATCAATTACTTCTACAAATTGTTTTATTAAATTTTTTAGAGCAAAAAATTTTTAATAAAATTAAAGAAAATAAAATGAAATTTTTTAATTATTCCAGTCAAAAAAAAAAAGGTTTGGTAATGATGTTATCTTAAGAATTAATCATTATCAAAAATCATACTGTATGTGCAATATTGATGAATGCAAAAATGCTCTGATTGATATCATCTGTCATTTTAGGAGTATTTTTTACTTATCACACTTGTTTAAATTGAAAAAAAAAAAAAAAAAATTAACAAAACAAAGAACGATGATGTGAAAATAATTTGATGAGATCATGTGATGAAGAATTAAACTAAATGTTTACAAAGTTATTTGGTATATTATTGCTATCTTTTATTCAAGTAAAACTATCATCACACATCAATTTTTATCAACGTCATTCTGTTATTTATTTGTTTTATTTTTTTTTTTTTTTCGCAGTATTTTCATTTAATTCACTTGTTAATAAAAAACAAAACAAAACAAAAAATAGATAAAACAAAAAAATTTTTTCCCAATAACTTAGAGCAAAAAATTAAGTTAATATTTCAATTATGAAATATAATCATTGTAAAATTTTCATTCAATTAATCATCATATTATATCATCATTTTATTATGATTATTTTTATTACTGTAAAAATTTATAAATTAAATTTAATTTCTCTTTTTTTTTTTTAACAGTAAATTCATTAAAATAAGAGCAATATATGAAATGATTATATTGATTTATATATTAACTGATTAAATTCTTATGAATTTACTCATATCAATAAAAATTAAATTTTCATCTCAATAAACAGAAATGAGTTTCTTTTTCAAATTATCAATGCATTAAAAAAATTTTCTAGTTCATCAAACAATATATATATAAGCATATGCAATACAATGATATTTGATAAAATCAATGTCAGGAAAATTTTAATCTTAAATTTGCTACGATTTAAACTATCAAACAAGCAAAAAAATAAAT